GTTTATCGTAGCAGTGGAAGCAACCAAGAGAAAGTGGAAATCCCTGGAGAGATTTGATGAGCTTCTTTGAAAGGAATTTTTCCCATATGTGTGTGGAAAAATACCAAGTACTGCAAGCTTTAAAAATCACGTTGCTTCATGTGAGCAGGTTTCCTTTGTAGCTACAGTTTATTTGAAATATTCAAATACATAACTATTGTTTATCTTTTGTTTGTTTGTTTGTTCATTCTTTCCCATCAGTTAGCATGGTAATGTGGACTGCTTTTATATCAGTCAGGAACTTGTTTGCATCCTGTCATCATAAATCCATGACTCCAGACTGTAGATTTTGTTGTGAGCCCCATGGTTTCTTTCCGGCCAAGTTGCTCTGTGGCTACTGCCTTGTAATTAATCAAAAATGCTTTAGGATTGAGAAAAGGCAGATGTGCTGGAGTTGTCCCTTCCCAAAAGGGACAGATAGCATTTTATTCTTACAGAGGTCCTTTAAGGTCATGCTGTGCTCCCTTTTCACCTTCTTTTAGCAGAAGATTCTAGAAAGTAAAAGTGTTAGGGCCTTGGTGTGGTCTTAACCTTATCATATAACTAGTTCTCTAGTATCTTACTGCAGCTCCCAGGTCCAGTGTAGGTAACAATAGCAAATAAGGCCTGGTTTTACTTATTTGTTTGCTTATGATTTTCAGAGCAAGGTAACACTTGACAAAAGATGAACATTGGCCATCTAGTCTTTTCTTTCTTTCATCTGGCCTTGAGATTAAGAGATTAGGGTGCTGCAGGCAAATCTGTGACTAAATCTGTGCAGAGAGCCATAAACCTGCAGCTTGGACAGGGGAATTGGAGGCAGTCTGAGGCACTGCAGTGCTCTCAAGGCTACTGGAGATACTGAGCAATGAAAGATGACCACCTGAGGGCTCATACTGTAGGGAGACACTGTTGTAGATGTGCAAGGCCCAAGGGCAATGACAATCCCTGTTCTTGGGTGCACGGTGTCCTCCTCCTGTGCTTCCTGATGTGTAGCTTGGCCTCAGCACAGCAGGCAGGAGTCAGACTTGCTTTTCTTAAGGCTAGCAAAGTTGTCTGCTCCTCTTGCACAAATTGAAACCTGGTGTGGTGTCACAGCTGAGGCAGCTTGGGTGTGATTCCTGTAGTTAGAGCTATAAGCCACAGCATAGCCCTGGGCAGGGAAAAGACAGACTTTGCAGAGCATGTCTTCATTCTAACCACTGAAGTGTGGTGCTTGGAGATATTGCTTTTTATGGATTGGCGTGGGGTAACTAATCCAGGCAAGCAGCAGGACTCAAATCTGAGGTCTGCAGGAAGGCGTTCAACACGCCAGGAAATGAAAAAAAAAATTAGATAAACTCTGTGGGTCAGTCCAGCAGCCTTGTGTTAGCGTGGGAACAAAGCCAGTGGGTTATTTGCCTTTCGGTTAAGAAAACAGTAATTCTTAGAATAATACACCCAGAACACTATAAACTTGTTTAAAAGTGAAATATTGCAAGAACTTGCCTGCTTGCAGTGAGCTCCTCTGTGAAACATGCAGCCAGGGCTCCTCTGCCTAGTGGGGAGACAATATTAAAAACAAATTAATAACTTACCAGCCTCGGGTCATTTGGGCTAGATTTATTCCCTGCTGTGGAAATACTTGTGCAAGAGAGAGAGCTGAAAAATTGATATGGCTAAGGCTGTTTGGCTTGTACTCTCTGATGGACAATGGGAATTTCTCTCCTGGAATGTGTTAGAATTGGGCCTTCATCTGATGAGCTCTCACCCTTTATAGGTCCAGCCCCCCCTGTACAAGGAGTTAGTGTGTGTGTGAACTATTTCAGGCTTCCTGAATTCAGTCTCAGCCTCTTCCGGATCTGTTAGCATGGTTGTATTTTTCCAGCTTTTCCTGCCTTTGGTCTCCAGTCTTACTGAAGTTACGAGTTTTTTTTTTTTGCATGCAGAAGACAGCAACAAGTAACACAGCTTTAGACTGTTAATTATCATTAATCATGTTAGTTAGCATTTCATAGTTCTCAGGGGATATGATATGTTTTCCCATTGATCTTCCTGGGCTATACCACCGACCAAAGATGTGGGGATAATAATATTTTCAGATCAGTAATGAAAGGATAGTTCTTTTTTCAAATAGCAGATAAGTGAATATCCAATGTGATGTGTGTCATACCAGTGGCTGAGATGTGCAAGATTTCTTCATCAGTCCGCAGTAGTCTGTGGTCATGGTGATCTACAGCTAGTATAGAGGTGAAACGTTGGAGGAAAATATTAGGTAGCCAGGCAGTGAGCAAAGTCTCTCACCAATTGCCCCATCTGCACCAATCTGGATAATTCAGGGGTTTATCATCCTGTAGGTGTTGAACACAGTAGAGTTTATGCTGGGGGTTAAAAAATCTGTTTTGACGCAAGCCTCATTATAGAGTTTCTGAAAGAGACTTTTCTTGGGCTGTTTTTTCCAGCAATACAAGGAATATGTTTCGCCGAAAACAAGAGGAGGAGACGAGCCATAGAAGAAGTTACTTTTTTAACTTTCTTTTAAAAGAAGTGCTTCTTTTTTTTGAGCTAAGCAAGCCAAGGATAGGAGAGGTGTTTGCAAGTTAGACCACTCAGTACGAGCACAGTCACCAACCAAAAAGCATATTGAAAACAGGTGTCATTGAACAGAGAAAAACTGGGAATTTTTTGCTGCTATTCGTGAACAATGGGATTACCTTCTCCCTTTGTCCCTTGCAGTATCATTATGACAGAACTGCAGTAATAACTTATCTTCATCTGTTGTTCGGTGGGCTGACAGCATGACACATCATCTCTGCTTAAGGGCAGGATTATTGATGCTAAAGCATGTCAAGGAAGACACATTAGTGGCACCTGTGTTCCTGACCAAAATAAAATAACTAGCGATAAATGAACTTTGAAGGAACAGTATTTGATGATCTTTTTGAAAAACAAGATGTTGTTCAATAAGAGGAAAATCATTACCAATATATTACTGCTTTGTATCAGGATTTCCTTGTTTGATACAGCACCAGTTTATGACAGTAAAAGTTGTGGCATGCAGTATATCCCTTTGCGTGTGGTTTTTGGTCTGACAGTGAGAAATCGTGCTCAAGGAAAAGGAAAAGGCAGTGTTGTGTGGAGGATTTTCTTGCTGGTAGTTCATAGGAGCATTTTCTCTGTTCTTGCCATGGCAGAAGTGTGATTTGCATATACACGTGCACCTGGAGAAGGCTGGAGCCGTATCTCCTGCCCACCTTCCTCCAACATAACTCTCCAACATAATGTTGGTAAAATAGAGAAAAAAAGCATGTGGTACACAAGATTAAAATTATATAACCAGAAATTGAGAGGTAACCAACCACCTCCAGGGTCATCAAGGTGACTTGAAAACTCAACATTTGTTGGAAATTTAAAAAATAACTTTAATCACTTGGATCAAAGCTGAACTAGGTGCTGAGATTGCAACCTTGTGCTTTGCTTGGCCCAGAGTAGAGGTTACTGTGTCTAGACAGAAAATGAGAACGTGTTTGCTGCTGCCCTGACTGAAAATGGTGAGGAGGTACAGTACAGAGTGGGCCATGGACCCAGGCAGGCCTGAAGCTGTGGCACCACTGCAGCCATCTTCTCAGGAGAGAGGTGCCAAGCGGTGTTGGCCATAGCAACCTTTCTGTCCCTTACCCATGTACCTGTGTCTCCTCCATTATACCTTCCCTGGGTATGACAAGTGTTGACCAAAACATGGGACTTTGGATTTTTTGCTGCTTTTGCCAAGTCTGAAAGCTCACTATGGTCTCCAAGTTTTGTCTTGCACCTTTTATCTTTGTTACAATCTTTGCAGAAAAATGTTACAAAGAATACCAGAAATCCATGTGTTTTTACAGAAATGTTCATAACTATAAGTGGGGAAGACAAAGTCTCTCTTGCCAAGTGTGGGGAAGGTGCATTTAGCTCCTGCTTAGTGTCCCCCTGTCCCTGGGTCACCATCTGATGCCTTTGCAGCTTTGCAGCCTCTCACTTGGTCTGTGACTCCCACCTGCCTGGTGTGGTGGGCTGGCATGATATGTATTGCACTGAGAAACACATTGCACCCTACGTAGCACCACAGCTCCTACCTGTCATGGTTCAGCGTGTTGGCTGCATCCTGCCACGTGACCTCATGCAAACTTTTGACAGACCTGGAAAAGCAAACATTATAGAGGTCTGATGAGAAACTTGCTGTTGACTTACATGGGGGAAGGTTCAGAGCATTTTAAGAAGAGAAAATGTTGCCTGCTCATCCAATCTTCCTTCAGAATAAAGTTATCACAAAGAACCAGCTGCTGTTAGATTGTTTCACTTATCGTTATATCAGAAGATTATCTGAGGCAATCCTTATTCCTGTTGCAGCTATGTGTCATACACATTGTAAGGACTGATACCATTTTTATGAATTTACAAAATTTTTCTTCCTGCAACCCAAAACTTTCTTTTTGGCTTTTTTTTTTTTTCTTAGTCTAGGTTTCTTCCAAGGTACGTGGCATAATAAAGATATATGTTTGATTTTTTATAGGTGAGGTGTACCATAACTATGCTTAGATAGTTTAAAAGTTTAAAATGTGTGTGGTTTTAGACCCGTGCAAATTTTAGGATGCACATATCAGCAGGCAGGTAAGCATTAGGTTCATTCAAATGTAATAATAAAGAATGCTTAGGAGCAAGGAATGTTACCTCCTTGGCCATTGCTTGAGTCTCCTTAGCATAGAATTTGTCAGCCTGCCCAGAACAAATGTATCTCTCCGCATCCCCTCTGAATTAAAAAAAAAAAAAAAAAAAAAAGTGTTTTTGTCCTTTTTAATGTCAACCCAAGTGATTTTTCCCCTCATACTTAGCCTCATAAAAGCCATTACTTACATGCATATGCAGGGAAAAAAAAAGAGATAAGACAAGAAGAAAAAAAAAGCTAGATATTTTGGGGCAAAAGGCTCAACCATGTGATAGGTTTGAGAATGCTGTGTTCTTGAGTAATGAAGATATGCTCTGTTGTGTTTCAGGTGCTTATGTTCTTATGTGTGTTTTAGGGAAAGTCACGTTATCTCGTGGGTGTTTCCCCTTCAACTTGGAATCCCTTAGTTTATCTGGATTACAATAACTTCTGGAGGACCATGGACAAGCTGGGAAGAGAGGTAGGCTATATAAATTGCACCTATTTCCTACAGTGCTCAAGGCTCCAGTTTGGCTTCATAGTAATTTTATTTCTAATATTCTTAGATGTTAAATGCCTTCAAAATTCAAGCAATACAACTGCAGATATTCCTGTGTGCAAGAAGTAGTCCCTGGAGCATCATGCTGTCTTTCAGATATTTATGAGTTGCCTTATAATCTGTCTACAAACCAGGGATCCTACCTTACAATAATCTGTAAGCATAGCTAACTCTATTCCTGCAAAGTTAATTTGATTTATGTGGTTTGTCAGAATCAAATTTGTGCATGATATCACACATTTTTTTTTGTCAAACAATAAATATTTTTTCAAAGATTCAGATATACGATAGTGTCCTCACGTGTCATGGTACTTACACACTATGGATAATTATTAATAATTTGTCTAAAACTAATTTAATAATATCTAGATAATTTTGCTCCCTCTGTAGTTAACAGCGGCATAGGGGCCTTCAGATATCCATCTTGGGAACTGGCTGAATCCCTGACTGAAGAAAGAATTTTTCCCTCAGCTGCTAGAGGACACCAAGATAATTAAATTAGGATAGATATGTCAGTTCTGGGCCACTAAAAGCCAGATGAGTCCTGACATAACGATATAGATCATTTGTCAAACAAAACTGGATTTGGTGGTCATGGTACAATTCGTGCCCAAAGGTGTGAATAGAAATTATTTCATTTGGTGAATTTATTCCAAATTTACAGCCACATGCAGGGGACAAAAGGAAATTCCAGCCAACGTATCAATCAACTCTGTGCATTAGTAGCTGTGACCAGGCAATGATATGCTGCTGGATGGTTTCTTGAATGTTTCACCTCTGTCTCCAGATTCCTCCTGAAGCACCATGGAATGCTCCACGTGCTGAGGAATGGGACAAAATGACCATGGAGGACCTGATAAATAAGATTTGCTGGACCAAGTACGTAACTCTTTATTCACTTTGAAATCCAGCTGCAGAATGATAGTGGCTCACTGGCAAATTCTGGAGTACAGCTGAGTGCAGCTGAGGTACAAGTGGTGAGAGAGCAGGAGGTATTTGAGATGAGGTTGGTCTTTGTGATGAGCTGTTTTCAGGCAGTGCGTGAGGGCCTGTTCAGGATAAGGTGGTATGGCAGAGCTTGGGTTGGCTGGCAGGTGGGATGAAAGATGCTGGGGATACTTGGGGTTTGCCTCAGCAGGCCCATGCACACAGGAGTGACAGCGTGGGCTCTTCCCACCATGCTTTCACTTCACTCAGAGACCATGTGCGTTGGTCTTTAGGAAAAGCAACATGTAAATAAAACTCCACTTTGTAGACATGAATAAGGTCACTTCCAGGATCAGAAATGGAGGCAGAAGGAAATGAGGCAGCATTCGCAGCGCCATAGGCTAGGAGCTGTGGCATGTTGTCTTCTGACTCTCTGCTACATCCCCTTCTGTGCAGTTATCATATGTGCCTGCTTTGAATGCATGAGCTGTATTATGTGTCCCACGGAGCAGGCAGGTGCCAGTAGCACATGGAGAGCAGCACACCGTGCCAGAGGGCAGTCCTTGCGTAATGGATGGGGTGGCATGAGACCCAAGGATGGGGAAATGAGCAGCTGTTGGCTCTGGAAGCTCTGGAGAAGTTCAGATGCTGGTCTTTGTTTCAGCAGAGGTGCCTGCTGGGCCTCTGAAACCCTTGGAGGGAAACGAGGCAGCTGAGGCAAACTTTACTGTTGCCTTTCACCTCCCGGGCGTTTTGTGCCTGAGCCTGGTTGGGAGCTCCATGTTTGTCCCAGTGAGCCTGTAGCTGCGCTTGCTCAGCTCTGCCCACTGCAGTGCACCCTCCTTCTCCTCCTAGGATGCTGTCCTTGGATGCCAGCCAGCTCTCTTGGGCATCTTTGCCTAATGGGGTAGTTTCCCATGAGGTAGTTTCCCATTTCAGTGCGCAAGCAGGTCCTTGAGGAGGATAAAATCTGCTCTTCCAAAATACAGGTTAGCAATTCTGCTGTTTGTCTTACTCCTCTCAGGATCTTAAGTTCCACAGTCTCATGGCCAGTACAGACAAGGCTGCCCTTCAGCTTTGCATTATCCGGCAGGTCTTCCTTGTTTGTGAGTAGCAAATTCAACAGAGCATCAACCCCGGTTGATAGGAAAAGGACCCCAAGGTGTTGTATCACCTAGAAAATGGCTAGTGTGTTTTATATGTCTCTGAGGGACCACGCTGTAGGAATAAAAAAAGAAACGATGTTCAATATGAGGTGATGACAACTGGAAATACTCTTTATTTCCTTTTCTTTTTCAATTAATTCTCTTTATAATGTGAAGAGAAGTATGTTCCTATGAGCACATGTGTACCTCCTTGCTGTGCTGGGCCCTGTGCTATTCTGTAACACTCTCCTTCCTTGTATTCAGTGTTTTTTATTTGTGGGGCTGTGCCCTCTTTGCCCTTTCATTCTGACTGTGGTTTAGCACTTTGCTGCACCTTCCTGACCAAAACTTTTCAGTCTGAAATTTATTTTGCTGGCTTAAATCTTGCTCCAGCTCCATGTGATACAAGGTATAGCCATTTAGGCTTCCTCTCACTGGCTGCAGCACTGTAGTTTTCTTTACTTTGAACTTCCCTTCCTGTTGCAAGTGCACTTCCTCTTCCAGTTTTTACTGTCCCTCTTAGTCAGGGAGCTGGTGGAGTATAAGCAGAACTGTGTTCATAGTGATCTCTTCTGTAACACACTTCTCTGCAGAACTGCTCCTGCTGCCAGTGGTTTTGTGGCACTCCAGTTTTGATGGATGTGCTCAGCTGAAACGTTCAAAAACTCAGTAAAGAGCTATTTTAGATTTTCAAGACAAATTTTTCTGCACATAGTTTAAAAAAGTAGTGTCCTAAACAGAAAAGCTCCTTCACAGTATTTTCTATGTGATCTGGGTCAAGGTTATAAAAGAAGATTTGTTTGTCACGTGTCACAGATAAGCATCTACTGATCTTGCAGACCTTCACATTTCTCAGGCCTGAGCCTGCTACAACTGTTCAGTGTCTTGGTGCTTTCAAGATTGTGGCAGAGGGTTCTTGCATGCAGGAAATTTTCATATCTTGGCTAATGAAATAGAGGTAACTGGACTTCATACCCAGTGAAGTGAGGTTATAAAAGTTTATAAGTTACATATTTTAGCCCAGATAACTTGCAAAGTTCCATCCTTTAGCGGTTGATTATAAATTCTTATTGTTTTATGAAACTTCATCCAAGTCAAAGACCTTTCACCTTCTTTGCAAAATGATCTCAGTTCTCTTAGCAATCTGTAGCCATGGACAAAATGAATGTGAATAGTCATGTCCTTGTTTCCTGCTGCTATAACTGTGTTTAGTTCAGAGGACTTGTGGTAGACAGCTGACCCTCTTCCGTATTTATGGCAATGATTCCCAGTGTGGTTTCTCTGGGTTATTTACCATGTCTGATTCTTAGTTTCACAAAATGTCTGTGCAGTGGTGTTACATGGGAGATGGGGAATGTCTTGGCCACATGGCTAGTTGAGCCCCTCGGGACCCATCAGACCTTGGAAATTATGTGCCCGATAAGCTCCCTGTGGAGGAGAAATGCAGAAAAGTTTCACTAACTGGTTATCAAATGCATTCCCCTGCTGAGAAAAAATATTTGTTCTGATGAAAGGAATAGCATCTGGGAAACTATTTAAAGAAATAACTAAAGTGAAATCAGTGGCAGTTCAATATCAATGGATAAATGCTTCAGGAGGGAGGGAGGGGTTGATATGTATCCATGGAAAGTGTCTCACTACAGACTAAAAAATGAGACAGATATAAATCATCTTGGCTTTTCTGACTTTGGGAAAGCAGCCCTTACTGAGAATAACAAAGAAAATTGTGAGAGCAGTCGGGAAGTCCCATTTACTCATTGCCTGTTTCTGCTCCTGTGTCTCATGCAGAGCTGTTAAAGAATTTGCCACCTTTTTTGTGAATGTCAACGTCACGTCTGAGCCTCATGAAGTCTCTGCTCTCTGGTTCCTGTGGTATGTGAGGCAGTGTGGGGGCACATCCAGGATTTTCTGTATCACCAATGGGGGCCAGGTACAATATGCCTCGTTTTCTTTCTCTTCCCTTGAAACCATAAAGAGCAAGTGGAGTGTTGTACCCACCAAAGCCCTACAATTAATGAAGAGAGGATGCAACACCAAGTGCATGTGGCACTGGAGACAATCATGTTCTTGTGGGGTAGAACAGCCCTCTTAGCTAACTCTGTTCAATGAGGAATTTTATTAGCTAGGCTTTGGGATAATTTGGGACAATTTAATGAATTGTTTTTTCCTGTGTTCATTTCAGCACAGTCCTTTTCTTGCTATTTTGTTGCTTTTTTTTGACAATTTATTTTCTGTGGGTTACTTAGCATGCTTGAATGTTTTCAAGAGTTCAGAGCAAGTGTACCTCAGAGTGAAATACTTTTTTTGTTTGTTTGTTTTTGTTGTGGTTTGAGGCTTGGAATGGGGGCGTGACCTTCTAGCAACTGGGAGGACCCTGGGTGGGGGTGAACCATTGTATTCCCTCCCCTTCCCACACACACTCTGATAAGAGGCAGGGAGTGGTTTCTAATTTCACTCCTGCCTTGGAGCTCGGAGAGGAAAGTTCTCCTTTCACTCCGTGGGACCCTGGAACCATTTCTGAGGGTTTTGTATATTTTATTTTTTGTATTTTTCCCCTAATCTTTGTACATATTATTTTCCTTACCTCCCTTTTTCGTTTTCTGTTCCTTGTTGAACAATATACTTCATTTTTTTTCAAAGTGTCTCTCTCTCGCTCTCTCTCTCTCTCGGGGGGGGAGAGGCAAGTACATAGTTCTGTTCCGTGTGGGTCCTGCCCTGAACCCCTTTTTACACGGAACCAGGACAGTTTTGAAGACTCTAATTACAAGAGTTGGAAGTACATAGCAAATGACCCTTTCTTGTTGGAACAGCTCCCATAGCAGCATGTTTTATGAACTACTTCAGGCTGTTTCTTGCTGTGGTCATGGCGGGTGCTTGGTTGCCTACAGAACATCATGGTTTTCAGGTGATTTTTTTTTCTGGATGAAGTTTCAGAAAAGGGGAGAGGGGGCTGTCAGACTAATTTGGATGTGGTATGTTGGCATCCTTTACTACCTTCCTACTTCAGTTAATGCAGCCTCAGAAAGCACTTGCAGCATTTCAGACATAAGCTACCAACAGCAAAAGTGGAGAGTACTACACCCTTCCACGTGTGCTGGGTTAGGGAGACATTAAAAGAAGTTGTGAAGTCTCTATCAGCACCTGCCCATTTGGATAAAAATATACAACCGTGTGTCAGTAAAGATGTAGGTACAACTAATGCTGCCCTGAGCTAGGAGCAAGACCTAAGAGCTTTCCTCCTCAGGAGGCCCTTGGTTACATTTGCTGTCCCACATCAGCAACTGCTACATGTTGCAGCAAGAATTAAAATTAATCCAAAGATACTTGTAGTTCAACAAGACATGTGGATAGGGGAAAAGTAGCCTGGGAAGAGCACTTCTTTTTCTTTGTGCCTGGATGGAGTTTTCTACCCCATCTTGGTAGAAAACTGTGTTGGGTTCTGCCCTCCTTCCCTCTCTCTTCACCCCAATCAAAATCAGCCAAGCAAAACCATGAAGGATTTCTGACTTAGCAGCCATAATGAGTCTTATAAAACTTTCTTGGGCAGCCATTTCAGTCTTTCAGCACAAGACTTTCTTCCCTGCCAGTACCAGCATCTGGAATGTAAAAGTGTGCTGCTTGGTATAATGCCGGTGCCTGGTAGATGAAAGGGGGTTAGTGCTTCCCCTGAGCCTCTGCACAGACATGGTGAGGAAGTATGTGTCACAGATTGTGTTTTGTCCCAGACAGCAATGTCTTTGTGTCTTCCCAGGGACAGGTAAAGCAAGTTGCCTGCTGCACTCGAGGCCAGACCCAGTTAAAGATCTGTCTTGCTTCTGGGCTGGTGCAGGCGTTCGCTGTACAGGTGCAGTTTGATGTCTTTGCCACACGTGAGGGGTTTGGTAGCACAGTGATGGGTAAAATACTCAAAACCTCTTTTTAATGAAGTGATATGTTTATACTAGCTAGAATACTTGCGTTATATGTGTATGTTTTCTAGGCTTCAAGAATCTTTAAGCCGACTAATTGAGGAAGCCATTGCAAAAGTGGTTTAGACAGCAATCCCCACTGCATATTAAGTTTATGCCTTCAGTCTTCTGAAAGTCTGGGCCTCTTTATTCACCCTTAGGACTTGCAGATTTGGCCTGGAGTGTCTTGATTATGAGCAGAAGTCATATTCGATGTCATTGTGATTCATGCTGGTGAATTTTTTGTTTGTGTTTCTTTTCTGTTTTGTTTCATTTTGTTTTGTTTTTTAGGAGAGGAAGTTTAAAGGGGGTTCTGGTCAGATATCGGAGAAAATAATGGAACGCCTCAAAGGCAGAGTTAAACTGGAGAGACCTGTGGTCCGTATTGATCAGACAGGTGATAATGTTGTTGTGGAGACTCTAAACCATGAGATATATGAGGTAATTTGATCAGAATAAAAGTAGAGTATGCATTTAGTGGAGGAATACATCTGCTGTAGCTCTTAGCTAGATGTAATCAGGAAGTACCCATTTGTGTGTGTCTATTTCTCAGACTGTGCTGACTCTCTGTGAAACCTGCTTTGCAGATTTATTTATGACTGGGTCTCTTCTTGGTGTTCTGTTAGATAGCTTTTGTCATTACTCCAGCTTTTCTGCTTAAACTTTTTCTGTGATTATATATTTTTACATTTTAGTTCTGCATTGAGATCAAAGAAATGAAAATTAACATTCCTGGTCATTAAAAAATACATTTCAAAAAAGACCAAAACCCTATGATATTTCAAATGCCTTTGGTAAGATTTTTCCTCCGTCGAGCGGCGCTGTGAAATGCTTTATCAGTACAGAATTACCCATGGTGGCACCCATGGGGCGGCAGCTCCCTTCTGCATGGACACCCCAGCCTGCCATGGGGTTTGTGCAGGACTGTCATGGTCTACAAGACCCTCATCTCACCAGTGGCAGTGTTTGGAGGATACATAGAGAAAGCTAGCAGAAAGGGATGAGGCTCCTTGGCAGAGAAGCAGATCTAAGGGTGTCCTGGAGGAGGGACTCTCTCCCTCCCCCAAGGATTATTAAACCTCAGAGTTAAACCACTGGCCTCTCTCTGCATGCTGGCTGAGTGACAACTGAGTTGGAGGAGATGGGTGTCCTGCACTCAGCGGCCCCACCAGCCTGAGAGCACTTGAAAGGCATGAAGTGTCCTTCATCAGTCACACACAGGACCCGTGAGGTGGATGGAGCATGTTCAGGAAAGCTGAAATTGCCCTCAGTGTTGCTTGCCTCGAAGTAGTACCCTGTGAATGTGCAGTTTTACCTTTGCCATAAGATTGGTCTTGTCCTATTTCCCTACCTGTGTCCAGCTAATTTTCAGCTCTGGTCCTATAGTGTCCAGAAAGCTGCCAGGAGTCATCTAATCACAAAATGACATGTTTTTCCCAGCTCCTTTTTCTGAAATGGCAGAATTGCTTCAGTAATCTGGAAATATCCATGTGGGAAAGTCAAGTAGCAAAGTCAGGTGTGGGAAAGCTCTTAATTGCTAGTAAGAGCATCTTTCAGATGTGTCCTGTGGGGCGAGCTCAGTGAGAGGCAGCACTTTGCTGACTGTGATTTACATTTCAGGGCAAGTATGTGATCAGTGCTATCCCTCCAATCCTGACAACGAAGATTCATTTCAAACCTGAACTGCCACCAAAGAGAAACCAGTTAATTCAGCGTCTGCCTATGGGCTGTGTCATAAAAACCATGGTGTACTACAGGGAAGCCTTCTGGAAGAGGAAGGGTATGTGGGGAAGGTGAAGGACTTGGGAGCCCCATGCTACGTGAATTTTGAAGCTCTGCTGTCTATCAGGGAATAAATCCAAGTGAGGGGTTAAATGTGCAAAACCCCAAAACCAAGCACACAGGAAAGTGAAAGGTAAAGCTCCATAGAAAGGAGAGCTCTTCCTCCAAGCCTGAGTGCACGCCCTGTCCCAAAGATGAGTCCAGACTCAAATAGGATCCCAAATCTCATTGTTGCTAGCTGAGGAGGGATGACTAAGAGAACAAGGAAGGTTTCCTTGAAGGCCTTTGCTGAAACCTGCAATGCACAGAAGCAGTGACCCTGCAGCAGCAGGTCTGTGCTTCTGCCTGCCAGAAACAGAGTTAAAGCAGTCAAAGAGAACTTAGAGCAGATGACAAGGAGAGCTTAAGGTGTAACCAGGACCTTCCCCTGTTTTTAATCCTCTGTTCTACAGACTTGATATCTCAGAAAACTGAGATAGCTTTTTTTTTTAACTCAAAATATTTTTACCATGTACTGCAACATCACACGTTTCTTGGCTTTAACTGGTAGGATTTCCAAAACTATTGGTATGAACAGATTAGTTCCCACTTCCTGTGTAATGATACCAAGAGTTGCACTGGGCGAGAATGATTCTTAATCAAAATAATATAATGTTGCATGTTTCAGGGCAGAAATCAACCATTGAGATTGGAAAGAAATGTAGGCAGGTTTATACATTGTTTTCTATATGGGAGTTTTTGCATCTTCACCTGAAACGTACTGGTGTGATACAAGATTTCTGCTGCATTAGTGTTATGGGACACCATTTCTGGCAGTCTTGTCATCATCAGAATCAATACAGGGTGTCAATTTAATCACACAGTGACCAGATGTAATTGCACTGGGTTTTGTTGCTGCTGCTCTTGTTTTGGCCAAAGTTACTCTTGGAATTAACCATCATAGTTCTTCCTAAATTCTTTTATTTTTAATGTTTATTGCCCCCAATATAGAAAGCCAAAGGAGCTTGCAGCAGCCCACACAAATTCCTTGCTAAGTAATAATGGAATTTAAATATGAATTCTATAAGTCTTTGTACAAAATTTCCCAGAGTCAGAGCGAAGAGAGGAGAGAGACTTAAAAAAACACTTCAGAGGTGTAGGTACTACTGGTGATAAAGGAATTACTGTGAAAATCTTTTTATGAATAATTTTCCTTGCTCATTTCTATCATAAACAATTATTATCAACAAGTTTCTCTGACAATCATTTTGTTTTCTTTCCCCCCCTTAGGTTATTGTGGTTCCTTCGTCATTGAGGATGAGGAGTCTCCAATTGGAATTACCATAGATGACACAAAACCTGATGGATCTTTCCCTTCTATTATGGGGTTAAGAGCTTCTAGCCCATACTTACACATGTGTATTTTTTTTTTTTGTATGGAGTGGAAGGAGGAGGAAGAGGGGAAAGGGCCAGGTTACATCAGTGGTGACCACTCCCACAGTCTTCATCGATGAAGGGAGAACATTTCTGACAAGCTTCTTATGCTTCTCTGGTCCACATAAGCTTTTAGGAGAAGCTTCTGCTACAAATAGCCTAATACAAAGGAGATGTTTGGGAAGGAGTTGCTGAATTCAGCTGTAGTTCATTTTAAGCATTCAGTTAATGTTTTTTTTGCTGTGGAGTAGTTTTAGAAATAAATCCCTTTCTTATTTAGATTTGTGAACCTGGACTTGGCTTATATTTGGTCTTGTATTTAGCACCTGGGCCAAATTGAAAATGCAGTTGTCCAAGAAATCCTAGTTTGCCTCCTCTCCCCACTGAGCTGAGGCATGACAACAAGCATCAGCTGATGGTTGGGCAGGGCAGCAGCTGTGCAGAGAAGCAATGGTGATTCTGAAGAAACTGCCAAGTAAAAAAGTTGTAGTCTGGATGAACAGATGGGAAAATACGTAACAGCATTGACTGTCTTTTAAAATAGGTTAAGCCACTATGAAAAAACAATCATCTTTACAAATGTTTCCACTGTAATCTGAAGTGAAATTGCCAAAAAAAAAAGGGCTAGTATAAATGTCAGGTAACTACTTAAGTATTTGGCAAGGAAATTTTGCCACTTCTGCTGAACTGTACATGTTTATTGGCTTGTTCAAGGCTTAGAAACTTCCGTGACCTGAGAGTAATAAAGCCTCCTCTAAAACCCCTATGGGAAACAGTTTCCTGCTTTCCCCTTGTGGATTTATGCAACTTTTTAAAATGGTGCAGGGCTGTACTTTATCCTCTGGGTATCTCCACTAAGGTCAAATGAACTAATCACCCAGTCTGTTCCCTTCAAGAGCAGCAGGCTCCCTTCACTTACTAACACAAAATGAGCCAGGCAGTGGTATGGCCAGCTGTCTGAGAGACTTCAAAAGCTCAAGAAAAATCAGGGTCTCAGTCCTTTTGGGTAAAAAGTAGGTGAAAGAGGGTAGGTAGTGTGGCTAATTTGCTGGACACTCTCAGCCCTCTGCCACTTTTGTGGTCTCACAGAGTAAAATTAGGAAAGTGCTGGCAGCTTTGAGAACATACTTGCAACCCCCAACTTTCTCATCTGGTATCTGCCAGGCAGTCCTCTGCACCTGCCCTCAGAGAATGCATGCTCTCCCTTTCATTGAACTCCCCAGGGTGCCCCACACAGGCCTTTTCACCTGTCTGACCTGTAGTTATGAAGTGATGAGGTATGATGAAAAAATCTCAAGACCATTACATCCTGGTAAAGTGCTTCACCTGCCTTTTTTTAGAATCATTTCAAGCAAGAGCTTGAGAATCAGCTGGGGTGCTGACAACTGCTTGATATTTATATGCCATGTTTTTCTTTTCAGTTTCATCCTTGCCAGAAAAGCTGTTAAACTGGCCCATCTCAGTAAGGAGGAGAGGTAAGAGTTCAGAAATGGAAAATACTACAGGAATATAGGGAATGCTGATATGCATAGTTTTGGGTGTTCTTCAAATTCAGACTGGGTGATAAAATTTTTAAACCTCTATGTTCACAACAGTATTAATCTGTGAATTAACAAATAGCACTTTCTAAATGTGGTCTTTGATACACATGCAAGTGAAAGAGGAGTTCTGCTTAGGAATATGGGTAGTAGTCTCTAGCTCATGTTTTCTTCTCAGCTATAGTAAATCTGTAGGGATTTCATTGATTTATATTTCTTTTCTCCTGGTCTTACACCAGTGAACATGAGAATGGATTGCCTCTGCATCCTAAAATAACTGTACAAGGATTTATTTTTTCAGAGCTCATTGCCAAAACCAACCATCATCCCGTTCCCTGGGTCCATTTTGGATGTCATGTTTAGGCATCAGCATTTGAAATATGTATGTTAAGATAAGAACTTGAAATAATCAGACTTAAAAACAAAGCCAAACCCACCTTTCTTTCCAGTGTATTGCAATAAATATGAGGTTTGGCCTCTTTTTCTTCTTTTTTTTTGTAAGAGCAGCAATAGCTGAGAGGTTTTTATTTTTCACCTCTTTTTTTCTGACTCTGATTTTATTTTCATGTAGGAAGAAGAAGATCTGTGAGGCATATGCCAAGGCAATGGGGATGGAAGAGGCTTTACATGTAAGAAATTAATGCCTGTTTTCACCTCTATTGTAAAGCAGTGTTGTTTCTTTGTTTTGGAGGATGAAGCCAAAATTCCTTGTACCTAAAATGTGTACCGAAAATTGAACTTTGTGCCATACAATCTGTAGTCCCAAGGGGAGGGCAGCAGCATCTAGTACAGGAAAAAAAGAGCTGCCAGTCTCACTCTTTACAAGAAAAGAGAAAGCAGTGCATGGATTTATTTGTCCTGTCATTTCCCCATGGGAGGCTAATGCTTCTGCACAAGTGCAAAGATTTGTTTTGTGTGAATGGATAGCATTAGCCAGATGACACGACACTCCTTAGCCTGTTTTTTTCCCCCTCTTCAAAGGAAATCTGGGGGTTTATTTCTAATTTCTCCGCCACTGTCTTACTCTCTAATGTTTGCCAACACTTACAGCCTGTGCATTATGAAGAAAAGAACTGGAGCATGGAGCAATATTCAGGGGGTTGTTACACAGCCTACTTCCCACCAGGCATAATGTATTCTTATGGAAGGTAAACCAGAGAATGCTTTGTTTTCTAATTTACGTTTCTTAGCTCATGTGTGATGGTACACCTTATGCACCAAACTTATGGCATATGTAGCATATTGGGGGAACTCCAACCCTCTTTCCACTCCCCTATTCCCCAGCTAGCAAGGATCTTGCTATTGACTTTAGTAAGAGCAGAGTTTCTCTTGTGACTTTTAAGGGAACAAAGCACAGTCACAAAGGGACTTGGTAGAGCCAGGAAGTCTTTCCCTGCTAGGTTACTTACAGTATTTGCAGTAGATCCCTTTAATGCTTGTTAAGACCTTGAGGGCTCACAAATGAAGTCTTCATTGACTATGTGGGTGGAGCACCAGGGTCTGGTGAAGCCCATTGAGTCACATCACGAGGGGAAGACACAAAACCCTTATGTGAAAACTCATTCTCTCCTCCCAGCAAAGCCTCCCATTCCCTCCCAAAACATAACTGCTGTATTCCTAGAGGAACATGATAGATAATGCTGATTAATACTAGGTGTGTTACTGAAAAGTGTGTGGAAGGCACAGTTCATCACATAATAGGAACAATCAGATAAATTTTGTACCCGTAGCTGAAGACCAGGCAAACCCTGGAGCACATCACAGCATGAACTTCTTAGCATGTCTGTCACAGAATTACACCCTCCCTCTGTGCCCAGATGTGAGTAGGAAAAAGTCAACCAGTGCACAGCCTATGGTGTTGCAATTTATCTCAACACTTGGGTGGCAATGGGTGAGGTCTCTGACTGGGAGAAGCTGGTGTCAGGGAGACAAGGAAAACCTGACTGGGGGTTAGATGGGAACCCATAGTGCAAGCACACCTTGCTATGGGAAAGGGAGCTCATCAGCTATGGCTGTGCTGACTGGGATGCTTGTGCACTTTTGCATGACTGAAGTGCTGGCTTATTTGCCCTGTGGGGCAAATGCAACTCCCTGAATGCTGAGAACTTCAGCTGCCGTCAACTTTTGGCAGGACTTCCAGCCAAGCAAGTCCAGCCTCCAAATAGAAGCTGGAATTAGTGACCCGTCACTGCAAAAACATCATTCACATCCCATTGTAATGGCAGGATAACAACAATGCTGTCATGCAGAAGACATAAATCTGTCAACTGCACTGCTTTTCTGGAGGCTATTAGGATTATCCCTTATCCCAGCACTAAAATAAAGCTTGTATTATTTTGTACGGAAACTGGGCATACTGATTTATGCCTTAGATTTTTTCTCTCTCAGATCTTGAGTTTTTGTGTACGGAAGCAAGTAGGTGGTCCTGTGGGGACAGCTTATTGCACCATGCTCCCCAGCAGTTTTGGACAACAGAAGCTGAGCACTCCATCAAAGCCCATAAATTGCTTTTAGAAGGATCATCACCTTCCTGTTACTTGTCATCTGACATTCTCCATTTGTTTTGAAGGATCATTCGCCAGCCTGTTGACAGAATCTACTTTGCTGGCACGGAGACAGCTACCCAATGGAGTGGATACATGGAGGGGGCTGTGCAGGCAGGAGAGAGAGCGGCCAGAGAGGTACAGACCATTGGTTTGCTTTCAAAGTCTCGAATAAAAGGTTAAAAAGGATTAAGTACAACTTGGAGGGCCTGATTTTGTGCGTCACACTCTCTAATTATGCAGAACTGTTGGGGAAGAAGCCCAGAAAAGGATGTAACCCAAAACCTTTTTATTTTTTTTTTTAATTTTGTTTGTTATTAAGTAAAGTGAAGCCAAGAATCTCACCCAAATCAGAACATTGGTCAGCGTGTTGCTGCATTGGAGACTTGAAATGAAGCTTGTGCCATTGAAATGCTGGGGTCTGAACCCCGAGCCCTGAATTAAGGTTGACATATGGGTGATTCCCACAGCCCTTCAAAAAGAGGTGGTGAGTTTGCCTTATAGCTTCCCCCCAGGGTGCGGCCGGCCCTGCAGGGAGAGCCATAAGGGAAATGAGCCCCAGGGGTCCTGCAGTGAGTTGACAAAGGTCAGGTGTCTGCTTGGGGATAAAAGC